TCACAGAGTTCGGGTTTGCTCTTGCTCCTCCAGCCCCAAAGCTGCCTCTGGATCTCCACGGAGGCTGAGGTCTGGGACAGTTATTTAGCTCTTTCCCCAAATCTTAGGTCCAGACTAAAGAGGAAACTAACAATAAAAATGTAAACGTCTAACATCTATTAAACTTGTATGATGAACTAGGCACTATTCTAAGTGCCCTTCACAAACCTGTGGGGGAGATACTCTTATTATTCCTTTTTTGCAGATGAGGAAATTGAGGCTCAGCGAGGTTAAGTCTCCTGCCTAAGGTCCCACAGCTGGTGAGTCAAAGGGACCAGGATTCAAGCCCAGGCACCTAAGTCTAAGTCCAGTTCTTTCTGGTCATAGTCAGCACAGCAGGGAAATAATACAGGGACCCATCACCTCTTCCCTTGGTCTCCTGTTCCTTCAGAGTGAGACTCAAAAGTTGCTGAGGCCTAATGAACCCAGGAATCAGAACCCCAGCTCCTCCAAGTAATACCTGAGGGCTTTGAGCATTTTCTCAAGCTGTTTCCCCACCCGTCAAATGGAGATAATTACCCATGTTTGGGACGCATCCCAAATTCAGAGAAGAGAAAGACGCTAGCAGGGTTAAAAGAGCTGGAGTGATGGTGTTGAGACTCCGAATTGCCAGGAGCCCCCAAATGACCCCAGGAGCACTGGCCACCAGTCTAATCGGATTCCAGAGGCTTAGCTGGGGTGGGGCTTTAGCTGGGGAGTTTGTTGCCTTGACCCAGAGTAACCCAGAATCCCAAAATAGACCCCTCACCTCTACCCCACTGAGGTGGGGCATGCAATCCTTGGCCACTAGGGGAGCCCCAGCTTTTCAGGGAAGCAGTGTATGTGTGAGGGGCGCCATGAGACTGTAACCCATAGTGGCGTTAATGAGGCCCTTCACTGCTAATTAACAGGAACCTGAAAAGGCCAGTCTGTCCCAGCAAGCCCCAGCAGGCCTGACCTCAGCCCCAGAGAGAAGCCTTTGTCCAAGGGCAGAGGGGACGCTGAGGTTGGGCTGGGCTGGGGCACGGAGCCACAGAGCAGAGGAGGGGGGAACAGAGAGGGAGGAGCTTTGGGAGCTGAGACTGGAGGGGGAAGAGCACAGCAAACAGGCCCTCTGCTTCTTAGCTGGGACGCACTACTTAAAGTAGGGTCCATAGACCTGTGGAAGGACTTCCCCTGGGAACTAGCTGAAAATGCCGTCTCCCTCCATTCCCTAACCCACCACTTCCGAATCTGATCCTAACGACCGATGCACTTAAATGTTTGAGCTGCCCTGAGATGAAATGACCGAGTTCTTTAACCTATCTAAGCCACCTGAGTCTATTTCCTCAGTGGAGAAAATATATGTAGTTTTTAGCGTAGTGCCTGATTCAAGAAATAACTGATACGAATGATATTATTATTGTTGTTGTTATTCATTTATTTGCTGGGAGAGAAGAGGAGCAGCCTGGTCAAGGGAGGGCCTGGCTTTCTGAATTGAACTATAGAAACAAGAGGAGCTTATATAATGGGGCAGCAGAGAAGGCGTGTATGTGTGTACTAACTGCCAGCAAACCACAGCACACCTCCAGGGGACAGGAGTAAACGATAGTCTCTTTCATATTCCTTCAACATACAGGTCAGCTTTCCCATAGGCCGGTGCCAGCCAAGCACTGGTGAGAAATCTATGCTCAGCTTCTAGGGTTCATGGCTTCCTACCCTTTAACCTGTCCTGAGACACAAGGTCAGGGGATCCTTGGAGGAGGGATATCAGAACCAGCAACCATTCTTGGGAGCATTGGGGTTCTCCTAATTAGGAACTAGCCACAGTCCCTTCTCATTTATTTAGAACCGGCAGGAAGTCCCAAGGGGAAAGGAAATGGCCCAGCTCCCATCTGGGGAAGGAAACCCCAGGATTCCCAAATCTTCCTGTACAAAAGAATCACCCAAGAGCCCTAACCCAGAGATTCTGACTTTGGGTTCCTGAGGTGGGACTCTTGAAATCTGTATTTTGAATAAGCGTCCTACGTGGTCGTGATGGTGATTTACATTGGAGGCAAGAAAGAAAGAGAGTTCCCCAGCAACAGGGTGTCCCATTGCTGGAGTGGAGTGGGGTGGGGTGGTGGTAGATAAAAAAGCAGGCTTAATTAATCCAGGAGGCAAAGGAGGAGTCTAGAGCGCCAGGTTTCAGGCCCATCCCTTATTTCAGGATTCCCGAAGATCCACCCCTCTGCTTTCTCATGCATTTAAAAGACAATTGTGCTGCCTTTTTCTTTTAAGACCCTCAGCACGGGCTGGGGGAAGGGCGGAGGCTTAATTAGGATTGCAATTGCAGTAACTGAAGCCCTCAAGTGAAGCGAATTACCAGAATAAATGTTAGAAAAATTCTTTAAAGAAAAATTTATCCGTCATCACTTTCACATGACTATTTGCATTTTTTTGGCTGCACCTGGCCTACCCGGTGCAAATTTTTGCATGGCTGTAGCCACAGAGTAAGTGGTTACTCCTTACTTCCTTTATATACCCCTACATTGATTTTTTTCCTCCCTCCATCCCACAGCCTGTCCTTCAGGTACTGGATACTGCCAGCATCGCAGAGAATGTTACAGACTCAGGGACCCGATGGAACTCTAATCTCAACCTCTTTGATACCTCAGGATGGCTTCTTCATGCCTCAGTTTCCTCTAGTCTATAGCAGTGTTAAGAAGAGGAACTGAAGCAGGTAAGGGCATGGAATTCTCAGGGTTGAGAATGACCTGATAATAATAAAAGGCCAGCTAGTAAATATCCTCAGCTTTGTGAGCCATACAGTCTCTGCTGCAGCTACTTAATTCTGCAAAGCAGACTAAACTCATATGTAAATGAGGGATGTGGCTGGTTGTGTTTTAATAAAACTTTATTTACAAACACAGGCCATGGGCCAGATTTGAGCCAGGGCCAAAATTTGCCAGTCCTTTCTTTAGGGCATTTCTCTCTAATGATCTTCAAAGCACTGCCGTATACAGAACTCAAGCAGTCGTTCTGTAGGCAGACTAGATACCATCTCCATTTAACAGAGGAAAAATTTGAGGCCCAGAGAGTAGCTAATCCCCACATTATTGACAGAGGCAGGACCCCAATGCAGGTCTGGCATCTCCATCACATCACAGAATCCCCAACACTTGTCCCGCCTATCCCCAACTCCAAGTACTTGTCCGTTCAGCAGTTTTTTTCAGCAGGGAGGAGGGCCTACCAGCACCCAGGGGAACACCCCAGAAACACTGCCATCTTGCCGGGTGCACATTGTTTTCCACCTCTCCATGTGCAGGGTGCAACCAGGCTGAGTCAGCTGAGGGCCCAGCCTTGCCCTGGGGAATGGGAGGGCCTGCCCCCTGGGTTCCAGCCCTGCCCAGGCTGATGAAGGCAGCAGCTGGCTGGAGATGACAGGGCACTGTGCCCCCATTTCCCTCAGAGAGACTGATCCCCACCAGCAGGCAAAAATGTAGACAAATGTCTAAGGCATTTCTGAGGTTTTCCCTCGGGGGGAGGAGTTGGGGAGAGTTCTCAGGCAGATGCCCCCTCAAGTCAAATTCACCTTCGAATTACCTTTCACAAAGTCAATTCAGTAAGCTGGCTAAGAGTGTGGTCTCTGGATTCCGACTGCCTGGGTTCCAACATTGGCTTTGCCTCATGAGGGGAAATTTTGGGATAATGGACGTGTTCTAAAACCGAATTGTGGTGATGGTAGCACAACTAACTCTAAGTCTACTAAAAATCACTGAATTGTACACTTAAAATCCTGGCTCGGCCATTTAAAGCTGTGTGATCTTGGGCATGTTACTTAACCTCCCTGTGCCTCGGTCTCTTCATCTGTCAAACAGGAATCACAGGCTAGTTGAAGATTCAAAGAGTCAACAACGTGAGGACTTTAGAAAGAAAGAGTCAATAAATGTTTGCTTCACAGGCCAGGAGAGGTGTTTGGGCCTCACAGAGTTATACTTGGCAGCTAAGTTCCTAAACTGTGCCTCGAAACTGCCCTGCCCCTCCTAGCCTTTGCTCCTGCTGTTTGCTCTGCAAAATCTCGATGCCCTTTCCTCTCAGCTCAAATGTTAGCTGCAATCAGAGGTCATCTCTCCTCTCTGCTCCTTCTGTACTTAATCATTTATAGCAAAGGCTTGGAAAGGGTTAGATGGCATATGGTTAACACTGATGGCTCACTGGTCTGAGATCCTTGGGCCAGGGAGAGGGAACATCTTGTTTGCCCTACTCCTGTCCCAGTGCCTGTGTCCCCACTGAGACAACCTGGGTGCTGAACTGAATCCAATAGTTGGGCAGGAGCTGAGGCTAAAACATCTTCTGTGGGTCCCACCCAGCACAGTGGTCATAAAGATCAGAGAAGGTAATGGGGTGACAATGAAGGGAGGTGAGCTAAAGCAGTGACAGGTGACCTTCCTTGGGCCCAGAGCCTCTTCATACACAAGAAGTGAATTCCTGTCCCCAGTACCCTGGAGGCATGGTGTTTTCAGATGCCTGCAGAGATACACCACCATGACTCTGGGGCCAGGCTCAAGTCAGGAGCCTCCACTGCCCCATCCCAGGCTTCTCTGTCTGAGCCCATAGACAACCCACGGCCCAGGCTGACCTGGCAAGAGCCTGTGACCCCAATAAGAGAGTAAGTGCCTTGCACAGGCTGGTATCCTGCTAGCAGCGGCTCCTATTGACTTTTCCTGGGCCTCCCCTGTGCAGAACTAAGTGCATGAGTATCTAGATAGCAGCCCCCTCCCGTTGCCTATGACCTTGGGCCAGGAGAGGCCTGGCAGGTACTGCGGAAAACAGAGGAAGTAGAAAGGGTGAGGGTTGAAGGGACCACCTCAGCCCTCCTTGGGGTGGGGGGCACTTCTGACTCAACAGAACTTCTGAAGGAGGGGCCACTGCAAACGTCAGGAAGCCTTTCTAGCAACACAAACATAACTTCCTACGGGGAAGGAAAACAAACACCTTGGAAGAGGAGCTAGGATCAGATGTGGAGGAGCAAAGGTCTCCACCCTCGCTAGGGAGAGGGTCCCCTCCATCCGCGCACCTTTCTCCCCGCCGCGGCCCTTTCCCAGAGACACCCGCTGCGGCGGCGGCGCCTCCCCTTCCACACAGCTCCTTCCCGGCCAGTTCACAAGTTCCAACGTGTTCCTGCCCCTCCGCCCCTAGCCGCGCCGAACGCCCGCAGCCCGGGAGGGGGCAGCGCCCAACCCTCTCCCTCCGGCGCACTCACCGAGGTCCCTGGTCCCCTCCTCCTGGGTGAAAATCCAGGGGGGATTGGTGGCGTAGAGGGAGGTGGTGTTGGGGTTGGCATGCTTCTTGCCGAAGAATTTGCTGAAGGTGCCCTGCACCGTTTGGTTTTTTTTCATGCTGCCGCAGGCCACGCGGGCACCGGGGAAGGACCGTCCCTCGGTCGCCCTGCCCTGCCCGGGACTGAACCCTGCACGGTCTCCCTAGGGCGCTCTACCAGGCCATGCCCAGCGCCGTCCTTCCGGCCCGCGCACCGGGCGACAGGTGCTGCGGACGCCGCCGCTCGCCTGGAAATGCGAGCTACCTGGACAGGTAAGAGGCTGAGGCTGTGAGCGGCCCCGCCCCGCGGTCGCCCAACTCCCCCGGCCACATTCCTGCCCGCCTCCTTCTACAACAGGCCATTGTTGGCACGGCCCGGTGGGCTTGGGACCTCGCCCGGCCCACGCCCCTCCTGGAAGACGAGCCGCTCCCCTCCTGGCCCTCCTCGTCCACCCCTCTTCTCCCCCGGTATGGGAGGAGGCGGGCAAGTCCCCTGCTTCTAAGGAGGGTCATGACTCGGTCAATATGGGAACTTTGACTCTGTACCCAACACTCGGGAAACGGCTGGCCAAAGTGAGCACGCCCGAAAGGTTCTGCAGGCCTTCAAAAACACGGGCCACTAGACTTCAATGGACATAAGGAAATGCCCCTAAGAAAAAAAGGTAAGGGGGGCGGGAGAGCAATAAACTAGCATCCCAATCTGATGACGAAGGTGGAAAATATCCTCATTGGTAGAGCTCCAAAGAGAATGTAGGATGACTAAATCTTGGCATTTCTTTGTACATCGAATTCTTTTTATTTTTTCTGTGAGGTTAAGTAAATATAATTTTTAAAAACTCAAGGTGAGTTGAGCCCACTTAAGGTTGGGGTCACTCTCCAGGGAGATTAGCTGTGGACCTTTAAGGTGCATGGGGGCCCATCCTAGCTAAGGCAGGGAGTGACTGTCCGATGAGGAAAGTCCCCTCAGATGAGAACTTGGGGGATGATGTGAAAAATGCTGACTGGGGGAGAGTCAGCCCATGGGGTTAGATTTCGCTGCTTTTTGGGCAGCAGGAGTGGAAGGTTGGGTGGGGGGTGATCGAGTTGGTGTGTTTCCTCGAGATCCCCAGAACAGCACCCACTGCTGCATTTCATCTTCCATTTCTCTCAGACGGTTGGAATAGTATAGTTCTTTGTACCAAAGGCATATTCCCCTCAACTTTTCGTTTTGAAAACTCATTTGAAAGGCTAGTAAATTAACCGCTTTTATTCCTTCCTCCTGGATTTACCGATTATTAACATGTCACATTTTCATTATTCTCTCTCTCTCTCTCTCTCTCTCTCTCTCTCTCTCTTTCTCCACACACACAAATACACACACTTTTTTTTCTTTTCAGTAGGCTAAGAATAAGGGCAGTCTTCTAAATGACTACAAAATAGTTAACAATTATTCTCTCTCTCTCTCTCTCTCTCTCTCTCTCCACACACACACAAATACACACACTTTTCTTTTCAGTAGGCTAAGAATAAGGGCAGTCTTCTAAATGACTACAAAATAGTTAACACTCTCAAATTTAACATCGATACTCTATTATCATCTCTCAAAATGTCATTTTAGTTTTTAATTTTTTTTAAAATCCACAATCTAATCATGTTTCACGCATTGCATTTGCTTGTCATATCCTTTTAACCTCTTAATTTAGCATAGTCCGGCACCTTTATTTTTCATGACAGTGGCATTTTTTTAAAGTTTTCTTTACTTGCTCCAGCCTCAATGGACAAGATGAGTCAGACCTTCAGGGATTGTGGCTGTGAGGTGTTTCCCAAATGCTTTTGGTTGGAGACATGCCTGTGTTCAACCCTGTCCCACTCACCATGGCTAGTGCTCCTGGAACTAATTCTTGTTTTTAAGGAGTATCTGTGGAGGCCCTCCCAAATGTGCGGTACTGTGCTGAGGATTTGGGGTATATGGGTATGTAAAAGAATTAGAGAAGTCTTATTTCTACGTAGAGAATCTTAGGGTCTCATTAGCGAGATAAGATTTACATGATTCAAGGTGGCAGGCCACGATGACTAAATACAAAACAGTGATCACTGTCATTAATATACATAGCATGAATTCAGAGGAGGGGAGGTCAGTGTGGGCTGGAGAAGTCCAGGAAGGCTTCTTGGAAGAATTAAGGCTTGAGCTGGCCCATGAAGGATGACAAGGATGTTAATGGAGAAGGGAAGGAATTCATTCTAGGGCATGCACACACACCTATGCTATCCATCCTTGCCTCCTCCTACCTCCACATCATGGTTCCTCCCACTGTCCACATGGGAAGAGCACAAGAGAACCCCAGATGCCCCATCGCACCTTGGACATCATCACAACCCACCCAAGTGCTCTAGACATTCTGGCACAAGATAAAGCCTTCTTTTTTGGAGACCTCTGAGATAAGAAGTCCCTCCCACCTTGGGTAGCTCCTGGACTCTTACACCCAGAACCAGCCCTAGCAGAGTCACCATTAAATGGCTCTATTCATATGCAACTTCCACTATGTAACTAATATTCTTGAGAATTGCTGTGTGCTCAGCTGTGGGCTGTGAAGGATGCAGAGAAACCAAAAACATGGTTCCTGAGTTCAAGCTGCTTCAGTCTATTTGGAGTGACACAGGGATAGATGAAGAGTAGGGAGGTAAATGATGGGGACGAGACTTAACAGTGGGACAAATATTCAGAGGAGGAGCCATCAGGGTGTGCTGAAGGATCTAGAGGGGCTGCAGGAGGTGTGACGGCCTCTGCAGGGGCTCAGGATGGTGGAGCTGGGAACTGGGGAATGGGACAAAGGTTATAGCAAGGTAGGCCAGGGTGTGGAAGGTTTAAAAAGGCCATCTGGAAATATCAGAAACAATTCAAATTGTCCACTGGAGATGACTGATTAAATAAATTATAGCACATCCACACAATGCAACTCTGAAAATGAATGAATCAGCCAGTTATGTCGTTATCTCCAAGATAAACTGATAAACTGTGATAAAATGTTGACAAAATAGTGTATGTAGTATGCTACCATTGGGGTAATTTAAGTATGATCTTATTTGCTTGTATTGACAGAGAGAAACTTTGGAAAGATCCGTAAAAAATGAAGAAAAGTGTTTACTGGGGGCTGGAGGTGGGGGGAACTGGGCAAATGGAGGGATAAGAGTGTGAGGGAGAATTTTCGCTCAATGCTCTTTTGTATTTTTAAATTTTCAAACCATGTAAATGTATTTCCTATTTAAAAGTTAAAGAAAAATAACTAGGCAGAAGAGTTTAGTCTAGAAATGTGGTCTATGAACGAGCAGCATCTGCATCACCTGGGATCTTTCTAGAAAGGGAGGCACTCTGGCCCCATCCCAGACGTTGGGCAACTGCTTTGGGCCTTGGTTTGTTCTTCTCTAAAACAGACTATTAATTTAAGGTCATTACTAGTTTCAGTCAGCTGGTGGATTAAGGTACCTAGCAGAGGATCTTTGTTTTAACAAGCTCCCCAGGTGATTCAGGAGCATGTTAAGGTTTGAAAAGCTCTGGCCTAGAGTCAGTGGCTACCAGGAGCAGGCAGTGGTGACTATGTGGGCAAAAGTGACTGACTGCTAACAGCTGTGTTTTAAGGCTATTCATCTAACATCTGGATGAAGGAGGGATGGGAAGGAGAAAGTGTAGGCTGAGGGATTAAAGGGCTTAATTGATTGTTTAATCAAGTGGTAAATTGATAAGCGGGAGAGGATGGGGGCAGGCCTTGTGTGCTGGTAGCAGAAATAGAAAGAGCAGAGTTAGTTTGTGGGGCATTTCTTGGGAAGAAAGTAAGGGCTTGGTAAACAGCTTGCCTATAGGAAACATCTCTGAGCCAGTTTCCTTATCTATGGCATGGGAATGGTAACAGTACCTCCTCCTAGGATTGTTATGAAGATTAAATAAGATGATGGATGTAAAGTGCCTAGGATAGGGCCTGGCACACAGGAGTACTCCTTAAGTATTTGTTCATTTCTCCCTTCTTTCTCCCTCATTTCTCCCTCCTTCTTGTTCCCTTGCTTTGGGGGTTTGTTTTGGCTGAGGATGGAGAAAAAGGGGAAACCACGATGATGGTGAACACCAGAAAGGCTTGAGGTTGTTGGGAGCCCAGGAGGAATCTCTGGAAGGCCCAGGTTGAATGGCAAGCATTCCACCCCACGTGCCTAGTTTCAGTTTCACCTTGTCAGCCTGGTAACTTTTGAAGCCAAGGTCCCTGGGGCAGGGTTGGGGCCTAATCCTCTGTCCAGCTCAGCACCCTGTGCTGTTGCCATTCGGCCCCCGCTCCATCTAATAACAACACCTCACACTTCTTCCCCCAGTAAAAGAAACAGCCAAATAACAGGCTCCCCTCAAAACAGCCAAAAGCCCAATCCTGTAATTAAATCTCTGCTCAGTGATTACTTTGTAACCTCCAAGAGCCCACTCTACTGGCCAGTTCTGGAGTGTGGGGTAGGATTGGGGCCTGGGAGTTGCAGTCTCCCCAGAGAATCAGTAAGGCCCTTGTCAAGTTTGTGGTGTTTCCTCCAACAAAGCCAAGGCCAAGGACTCCTGGCTGAGAGTGTGCACTCTGAGTCAGAGAAGGGTAGGCTGAGACGTCCTGAGAGTCACCTTCATCACCCCAGCTCTCTGCAGCTAGTTCTCCGGGGGCAAAAGTCAAACCTCTGGACATCCCAGCTTTCAAATGATACTGAGCTGCAGGTCATCTTGTCCAGCCTCTTGTTCCAGGCCAGAAACACCTGATGCCAGATCAGCTCCTGAGACCGTTTCTTCGGGCCTACAGGGGAGGGTGGGCTCCAGTCACTCTACCTCTGCATTCCTCTGAGCTGGACAGGTGCCAGGAGATGTGATCAGGCTAAGAGGAAGTTGGCTAGTGTGGATTCCTATATCTTGAGATGCACTCAAAGTCATTACCTGGTGCCTGGAAGTGTGAGGACCCAATGTCCAGCCCTGGGTGGACAGTGGTGTGTTCGGGGATGCTGAGAAGAGACCCATTTCTTTGTAACCATGGACTCTGTTGATGAGTCCATGACATAGTGGGAAAGATCCTTGCTGAGGAATAGGTTTGAATCCTGACTCTGTTCCTTAGCACTGGCATGATCTTGGCTGATCTACCACTTCTCTGAGCCTCCATTCATTAATGTAAAACAGGGGCTATTAATGTAAATTTGTTATGAGATTCAGTGACATAGTAGGTTAAGGTACCCAGCAGAGAGTCTGACTCATAGTAAGTACTTAGCGTCTGCATGTTCCCGTTCTT